GGAGTTTGTTGTCCCTGTGCAGGTGAGGATCCCGTCGCGGGTGGACAAGGCCGGCTCCAGCCCGGTGAAGCAGTGCAACCAGGAGGTGAGAGGGGATCCTGGGTGAGGAGCTGATCCCTGGGATCCTGGGGATGGATCCTGGGATCCTGGGGATCCTGGGGATGGATCCTGGGGATCCTGGGGATGGATCCTGGGAATCCTGGGGATCCTGGGGATGGATCCTGGGGATCTGGGAATCCTGGGGATGCTGGGAATTCTGGGGATCCTGGTGATCCTGGGGATCCTGGGGATGGATCCCGGGGATCTGGGAATCCTGGGGATGCTGGGAATTCTGGGGATCCTGCGGATCATGGGGATGCTGGGGATCTGGGAATCCTGGGGATGGATCCTGGGGATCCTGGGGATCCTGGGGATGGATCCTGGGAATCCTGGGGTCCTGGGAATCCTGGGGATCGTGGGGATAGATCCTGGGGATCCTGGGAATCCTGGGGTCCTGGGAATCCTGGGGATCCTGGGAATCCTGGGGATCCTGGGGATCTGGGAATCCTGGGGATCATGGGGATGCTGGGGATCTGGGAATCCTGGGGATGGATCCTGGGGATCCTGGGAATCCTGGGAATCCTGGGGATCCTGGGAATCCTGGGAATCTGGGAATCCTGGGGATGGATCCTGGGGATCCTGGGGGTCTGGGAATCTGGGGATCCTGGGGATGAATCCTGGGATCCTGGGGATTCTGGGGATCCTGGGATCCAGGGGATGAATCCTGGGATCTTGGGGATCCTGGGGATCCTGGCATCCTGGGGATGCTGGGAATCCTGGGGATCCTGGGGATGGATCCTGGGGATCTCTGGGATCCTGGGGATCCTGGGAATGGATCCTGGGAATCCTGGGGATGCTGGGAATCCTGGGGATGCTGGGAATCCTGGGGACCCTGGTGATGCTGGGATCCTGGGGATTCTGGTAATCCTGGGATCCTGGGGATGAATCCTGGGGATCCTGAGAATCCTGAGGATTCTGGGATCCTGGGAATCCGGGGATCCTGAGGATGAATCCTGGGATCCTGGGGATCCTGGGATCCTGGGGATGAATCCTGGGGATCCTGGGAA